TAAAACTCGAGCGTCACGACATTGCGAAGTGTCTGCTCTTGTTCCTCGTATCGTACTCACTCGAGTCAATCCGAGATGGCCCGAGTGAAGTTTCATACAAATGTTTCGTACGGGAAAAAAAATCGCGAACAGGAACCATCTCAGATCCATGGCAACAGATAGGACGCCCTCTTCCAAAACTGATTACTTTTTCTCTTTGGTATAATAGCGCATGAATGGCACCCTCTTGCTAAATTGGAAACTTTTGAACCTTGACCGACGCTTCTATTTGTTACGCGTAAATCGCGGAGAACGCTATCTTGTGTTTATAAGATCTTTGGTGTGTATGTAGGGGTGTGTGGAGGGCGTGTGTGTGGTGGGGTGGATGTGTGGTGGGTGTGGTGTGTGTATGTGTGTATGTATCCAATCCAATCCAATCAGGTCATTTATAAAGCGCCTTTCTTTGCAGATACACTGTATGCTCGCATATAAATAAGACGACCCCCAAATTTGAGAAGGTTTTTGGACGATTTTTGTATATCGGGCGTATAATAAGACGACCCCCTGAAATGTTTTCCGTTATATAGGTAGTGAACACAATTTCTATTTATTTGATAGTAAATTTCAATAATCATGTTTTTCTTACTAAAGATAAACTTCTATTACACGAATGGGGTCATCTGAGATGGGGGCTTTTTGACGAGTATACCACAAGCGATCCCGGATCAGCACCATTCTATGCTACTTCCAGTAATACAGTGGAGGCAACACGATGTTCACTTGCTATAACAGGTCAATACGTTAATATATTCACACTAAGGGATTGTTACCTTGACCCGGACACCGGTATCTACCAACCAGAATGCGTCTTTTTTCCAGACGTAAATGGTCAGACGACTAAGGCATCTATTATGTATGGGCAATTTATAGATTCGGTTGGTAAAATCTTTGTTATCTAATTTAATTGTAATTCATATATTTTTTTCTCTATTTTATTTATTTTTTCATAAATAAAACAGTATTCAATCAGCTATAAATTTATCAAAGATAGTTGGAAACTTTTTATTAGCCATAAACACAAGGTAATATTTTTAAAAGGGTTGTCATTACGTCATTGTCTGTAACAAGAGCATATTCATCCTTAAAGATACACACATAGCAGATTTAGCAAATGGTTGGGTCAGGTTAGGGCGGTTTTTGTGTTTTTTATTTATTTTTTTTAAGCGAATCAAGTGGAAGAGGTGGGGTTTGAAATCAGGAACATACATTTTGGAAGATTTATCTTATAAATGGGATTTGCGGTGGGTGGAGCTATATGCACTTTACTACATAATAATTTTGATTTATTAAGTTTCTGGTTTTAATAATAGAGTATTATGTTTTGTATATAAATGTCTAATACTGTACATGAATAAAGAATGTACATTTTGAAACTAAATCTTGAATGAAAGTGATATGAAATACAATAAATCATATTTCTTAACATTTTTACCACAATCTGTATTCACCAGATATATAATGTTAACATTTCTAAATTTGTTTGACACACATTTTTCTAATATTTTTAAGGTTTATACATACTGTCACAGTGATTCTAGTGATCCACTGGGTTATCACAACGTCGAAGCGCCACATAAACACAACATAATGTGTAGTAGCAAAAGTTCATGGGACGTAATGTTAGAATCAGATGATTTTAAGAATAACGCCAATCCACCCATAGAAGGAAAGGTTGATACCAAGCCAATTTTTCGTATCATTCAAGCCAGAGAAAGAAGAGTTGTTTTAGTGCTGGATACCTCTGATAGTATGAGGGTATGTTTAATGTATAGTCTCTACTGATAAAATATAATTATAATTATATAATTGTTTTAAAGGCCATAGCATTTGTATTCCTCCTCCTTTTCTTCTTCCTCTTTATCTCCCTTTTTAACTCGTCTAGTTCATCTTACCCTCTGCTATTTATCCTTCTTATTTTTTTCTTTTTCTTTTATTATTATTATTATTATTATTATTATTATTATAGTTATTATAATTATCATTATCATTATTATTATTATTATTATTATTATTATTGTTGTTGTTGTTATTATTATTGTTAATATTATTATTGTTGTTGTTGTTACTATTGTTGTTGTTCTTGTTTGAATATTTTAAAGTATAAGAGGCGGGTTCCTAGCTATCGAATGTGAATGAAATAAAACAAAATAGTAATGTTTTTCTAAATTCACGTACTTAATTAGGGTGAACGACTAGAGAAATTACTTCAATCAGCTACACAATACCTACGTTATACCATTGACGAAGGTAGCTATGTTGGCATTGTTGAATTCAACATAGCCGCCTATGTAGTGTCTGAATTGGTTTACATTTCTGATAACAACACTTCACGTGAGGTGTTGGTGGCAGCATTGCCTGTGGATACTGAGAGAGAAACATGTATCGGGTGCGGAATTTTGGACGGAATTGAAGTAAGCATTGTTTTAATGTGTTTTATGAATTTTCGGTACAGTCAATATGCAGAAATTTTAAAAGAGGTAAAGAATTTCCATAAAATATTTTAAGTGCGTTTCATGATCTTGCTATTTAACAACTTTCACAAATTTAATATTTCACAGTATATATTTACAGGGATTATTTATAGGACATTGTATTTTTAATTTTTTTGTAGAAGTTTTGATGTAGTGCTAAAATACATCGTAAATATTATGCCTGTCTACATTTTATGTTAAATAACATACCTAAGTAGCATGTGTACAAATAATAGCCTCTGCATCTTCTTCGCGTTCGATGGTATACTTGTTCTGGGATTCGCATCAAATTGACATAAACTGACGCTCGTGGCGCTTTCCGAAATGTGCTAATACTACAAAAAATAAATAAATTAGAGATTTGTGGTCTATTGTCTACAGTCTATATATAGACAATTTCAATACAACATTTGTGTTACGACTACTTGACAGGTTCTTTCGCGAAACGGCGACGACCCAGCTGGAGGATATCTTCTGGTCATTAGTGATGGAAAAAATACACAACCTCCCGGAATTAAGAACGTCATAGATGAAGTCAATAACGCCGGAGTCATCATAGACACTATTGCTTTCACTAACAAAGCTGACACTGAATTAACCACCTTAAGTGAAGAGACAGGCGGAATCGCTTTCTTTTTTGCCGGCGACTCAGATATCTCTGTTCTTAATAATGCATTTACCGCTACCGTCACCACAAGGCCAGATGTTAGTACACAATCACTTCCAATAACGGTAAGTAATTCTACAATACTAAACATTTCCAGTGCAGTTTACTTTATAAATGCACAGACATATATATATATATATATATATATATATATATATATATTCAGAAATACGTGAAGACTATTGTCCCCCTATTTAACTCTATCTACACTTTAAAAATATTTTAGAACGAAGTTGGATTTATGTTAGAAAAGACTCACGTTATCATTAATAAACTATGGCAGATGCTATGCAACTGCAGACTACATAAATAAATCAACACTCCATAATTTTATTTAATCATTTTTGGCTACCAGTGTAGGAACATGGGGATTCGGCTACTTACGTTTGTTTAGAGGAAGTTATGTATGTTCTCATACAACCTAGGAATGATACTAAAAAAAGTTAAAACTCTGTTCTAATTATTTCTAACAATAACTCACAACTAAATACTAACAACTGTTAACTGATAAACTGATAACTAATACCCTGCATAATTAAATAAATGAAGAAAAGGATAATGATTTTTGATTTTGTAATAAACTTTTACTTAGTCACTAGATCATAAAAAGGAAGATAATAATAATCATAATTTTGTAGAATATGATGACAATGATAATGATGACCATGGTTAGGATCATGTCACTACTGACTGTGACTAAACTATGACTATATGATTAGACTATGACTAGACTATGGCTGCACTCTGACTAGACTCTGAGCAATATGACTAGACTCTGACTACAATATGACTATCCTATGACTACACACTTACTAAATTATGACTAAACTACGACTAAACTATGACTAGACTATGATCATGGCAATGACTATGATTATGGTGATTAACCATTTTAGACCAAGCCGTTTCTGTGAATCACAATCTCTACCACACAATTGATCGCAGAGGCAACTGACACCAAATGCGAAGTAGATGCGGTGGATTTTGCAAAAACCTTCGCCTGAGTCCGCATTGCCGCATTCAACACAAACCTAACCATTATGGTATCTGAGGTCCTCTTAACAAATTTATTTAAAAAATCCTCACCAATTTTTTTCAAAGAGTTGTCCATAGTATGCATGTTCTAAATTTGGCAAGTGTAGGATTCTGTGTCCCTCAGGGAACTGTGTTTGGCCCCCTTCTTTTTCTGACCTTCATCAATGATATCATTCAAGATATTTTGTTTGCAATACCATATGTGCCTGTAGTGACGCTTTATTTAACATTGGGGTCCAGTGCAGTATTCATACAGATACAGACGTCTACCTAATTGTGCAGAATCATAAGAACAAATCTGATTCCAAAGCTCTGTAACTGAACCTTGAACATCTACAAAAATGCAGAATGAAGCAAAATCCATTTGTGATAAAATACCTCCTGGGTAGGAGCGAATTATCCATTGTTACAAACCCGCTATACCTAGGTGTCACTCTAACCAACAAGCTCTCCTAGAAAACCATTATCGACAAAAGCACGTCTCGAGCTAATGATTTTTTTTTTTGGGATGATCAACAGGAAATCATCAAAAGAAACTGAAATAACATGCTTACCAATGTTTAGTACACTCTCATCTCGAATACTGTTCCGCAGTCTGTTCCGCAGCTGTCCAATGCCGTGCTGCAAGATTGTTCTGCACCCTTTCAATCGACAAGAAAGTTTCACTTTCAAATGATGAAAGAGCTTAAGTGGCAAAATCTTTAAAGTAGGCAGAAAACATATTGTCGCTCTCTGCCAGATAAAGCCAAAGATACTAGAAATACAAGATAGAGTTCTCGCATTGTAAAAATGAGGCGGAAGTCGTGCCCAACGTAGGCGGCGCCCTTCTTTTTACCATGCAAGTTTCCTATACTTCGTGCCCAACGTACAGGGCGCCCTTCTGTTGCTAAGTATATCCAGACGCAGAAGGCACCCTTCCTTTTCCACTAATGAAGGAAAACTTTTTCACTAAGAGTGCGTCCGGCCATGCGATTCTGCGCTGTATTGTTGTTTTATTCTTTACTGATTCGTGATTATGCTTTAATTGTTTTGTTTATTATTTGGATAATAGCAACGATTTCTACCGCCACCAAGGAGGTTATGTATTCACCGATGTCACTGTCTGGGTGTCTATTCCAGTTTGTTTTTATATCTAGTATCTTTGTTGAGAATTGATAATAAAATACGCGACGACTTGGTAACGAAAGTTTGGCACAAGTTTGTTTAGATCCAGCTGTAGGGGGCGTACCATTTTTCGTATTCCCACCATGCATTTCGGTGGAACACGGTGGAACACTTTTTTGTGTGGAGAACTCTATCTTGTATTTCTAGTATCTTTGATAAAGCTACATCTTGTTGCCATCCCTTCATACGCTATTCTACTACCCATGCCCTCATCAATCACCAAAAGTTACAACCCACTGACATTTAAACCAATCCAAATTAATCCTTATTTAGTAGCACTCAGAACTTTTTCGGTTTTCTTTTCCTTCACTGAAGTAAACTTTATTACTTTCTTTATATGTTTGTGATGTTCGTTCCTTTTGTCGTTTGGTGATCTGTACAGGACACTCTTAATGTAAGACTTCTGCAGAACATCCGAACCTTGGACTATCTATCTATCTATCTTCTTTGAAGAAGTATGAATAGACAATAGCTATCACTATCGTTACGATGTGACAAATTTGACTGTTACTAAAACTTCTTTGTAACTGTTAGTGTTTTATAATGACTGTAGCAGGCCTACTATGAGACAATCACTAAAACTACGAATGTGATTGACGCTAGAATTGTGCCTTGTGATCTGCTACCTGTGACCCAGTGAATAAGACTGCGACTAGAAATAATAATAGTAATAATAATAATAATAATAGTAATAATAATAATATAAATTGTAATAATATAAATTGTAATACCCTTAATAATAACGATATTGATATTGATATTAATAATTACAATAATTATATTGATATCTATATTATTAATGTTAAACTGATATTTATATTAATAATGTGACAAATTTAACAGTTACTAAAACTTCTTTGTACCTTCACCTGTTAATGTTTCATAATGACTGTGGTAGGCCTATTACTATGACTAAAACTACGAATGTGACTGACACTAGAATTTTGCCTTGTGATCTGCTAACTGACTGCAACTAGAAACAATAAGAAAAATTGTAATACCATTAATAATAACTATAGTGATATTTATATTATTATTTTTTTTTACATAATTTCAGCTGTACAGTGATTCTTTAAAAGTTCCAGTTGGTGCGAATATCAGTGATTCTGTATTCATTGATTCGACCGTAGGTCTTGAAACCGTGTTCACATTTTCCTGGATCGGTACTTTAATTCAGTTGTGGCTTGAATCACCGGATGGAAACTTTGTTGATCAAAATCAATACATTGTCGATAAGGATACGAACATCATTACAATTAAAATAAATGACACGGCAATGGTATGTAGTATACATAATGGGTTTGTCGTGTGGGTGTATTTGTTTAGTTTGCAATATGGACGTCTTCCATATTTGTTATACAGATAACGCATCTAACCACATTTTATTGTTTATGTAATATCTGCGTTTAAATGTAATATAAAATTAGTATAATCTCTGAGTAGGATGCATTTGTTTAGTTTTTTTGTTTTTTTTTTTATGTAGACTGGATACTGGGTTTTTACAGTTGCTAATGTCAACAAGAAGTCACCGTCACAGGTTGCCACTGTAACCGTAACATCAAAACAGTCCTCTAAGGAGGATCCAATTGAGGTACTAGCACTAGTCAGTGACCCTTCAATTAACTATTCGACGGAACCGGTAGTAGCCATCTATGCAATTGTCACCAAAGGCTACCTACCTGTAATCAATGCACAGGTGTTTGCAGTCGTTCAAAGTCCTGATGCTATTGAAGAAGTTCCACTTTTTGACAACGGAGCAGAACCAGATATAACAGAGGACGACGGCGTATATTCCGGCTATTATTTAGGATTTTCAAATAATGGTCGATATAGTGTTGCAATAAAAGTGAACAACTCAGCCCAAATGGCAATGGTTAATATGGCAAAGGTCACAGGATCATTACCAATTAAACCAGGTTTGTCTTTATTTTTTTACCGTAACTCGTCTGTTATACCTTCACCTTTGTATTTGGTGGAAAAGCACTGAAAGTTAGCAATAACATTGATTTCGGGTAATACGGTATTGCATATACCGCCTGTATCCTCCTTACAAATGAAACCCCTGTATTGTTTTGTAATTGGGGGGGGCGGGGGGGTGGGTTGTCCAACTTAAAACAAAAAAGAGCCATTAACGTTTGTTAGAAATCACTTCTGGTTTATGTGTACAGAATATCCTGCACGTCCGTTCAAAACTGACGACGCTGGACGCTTTTAAAATTTAGTAATAACAAAAACAGCAGCAGCAGCAGTGAGTTTCTGGGTCAGCCTTGCGCGGACATAAAAATAGCACACAGTCATAATGAACTTATTTGTCTTAATGGCAAAAAGAAACAATGTAGATAGAGTAGTTAAGGCATGGTTACAATTGGTATGCTATGTGTCGTTATCTTCAACTGTAATTATAATTGTACTTCATTGTAGAATCAACTAATGACGACTTGCCTGTGTTCGAGCCGACAGGAATGTTTGTTCGAATAACTTCCGGTGGCGTAATCCAGGTCGAAAATTACGTAGACAACCCTAAAGATAACTTAGCACCTTCTCGAATTTTGGATCTCAGTGTAGTAAAGACTTCATACAGTGAGCAAAGTGTGGTTCTTCAGTGGACAGCAGTCGGCGATGACTTCAACAAAGGCACTGGTACGATTAATTAAGGAGGGGTTCTACTTAATTTGTATATACCATTCTTTTATAAATAATTTTTATGAAAAATAATATTAAATAGCTATAATGTAATATACAAAAACATACACAAAACAGCCAAAACAAAAGCTTACATAAGATCACTGACGAAAAAAGTTTTATATAGCTTAATATTAAGTGAGTTATTTATTTTTTGTTCTCAGCAACAAAATATGAATTGATGGCTGCAAGTAATTATTCAAAACTTTTCTACGATTTCGCGAATTCAAGATTGGTAACGAATGATGATCTAATTCTGGGAAATATGTCTATAATAAGCCCCGCCGGCACCAGAGAAACCGTCACCATAAGAGTTCCAACGCGTGGAGAGGATGCGACATATTTCTTTGCTATTCGTGCCCACGACGAGTCAGATAATTACGGAGAGGTTTCCAATATTGTTTCTGCAAACATGGAATATATTCCACCAATTCCTGCCGAAAATCAAGATCCTGAGAAGCGCATAGCACTCTGGGCCACTCTAGGTACATTAGGAATCGCTATTTTCGCTGGAATCATATTTGCATTCTTCCGAAGCAGTAAACAAAAGAAAAACAAACTAAATAAAGTAGAACATTCTGACAACGTGAACAACCGAATGGACAATGTAACGTATTGTGAACCTTAGTAATATGTTCTTATTCTATAGAAATCTTTGGTAGACTTAAAATAGATAATTTGGTTTTGGTCGACTTATAATGCTATTTCAACTTTTGAAAGAAAATCAATGATCCTTGAAAAGATATAGGCCTATTACCATATTATAAGTATTATTTAAAATAAAATAGTTTACAATCTAAGGTACCTGAGGTCCTAATGAAGATCAATATATCTACGTAGGCCTTTAATAATATACTATTATTTTTATATCTTGAAGATTTGACAACCACTATCAAGTTGACAACCACTATCAAAATATTAATATTAATCTAAAAAAGGATGGTGTAAAAACCGGTGCTTATCTTCATTATTGGAGCGCTCAACTTGTCATTTCTCACAAGACATAGCCTAGTAATAGTATACTGTAATTAAAATGAAAAAAAAAAATGTATACTTCTTTGTTTAAGTGGTATTTGCAACACTGTAAATTTAGCAAACTACTAGTATGTTTTTTTTATCTAAGTTAACGCTTTTTAATAATATTAATGTTATTGTTTAAAAAATAAAATTATAAAAATTATCTATATTTTATTTGAGACTGGATTTTGTAAGAAAATAAAATATTGGAACAAAGGGCTAGTTGACTGATCATAAAATAAAGAAGAAAAAGTAGTTTTTAAAATTTGGATTTTCTATTGGCCGCCTATATGTTATTTTTTAAAGTAATTGTTACCGAGCCCTTGAATACTATGTCAAATAAAAAGATAACATATTTTTATATTAATCATTAAAAAAATAGAAATTCTCATAGGCCTACACTTTACAAACCGATTTCGTCTCGCATGGATATGTATGCAACATGAAAGTACTAGTGTATTGTGCATATTTCCTTGTCACTATTTTGTTTTGGCATATGTTCTTGGAGTAGTAACAAAATAACTTCGACGATTAGTAGATAAGAAACGTGCTTATCGCTATAAATAAAGAAAACCAGCAGATTATTAGTACCATAAAAGTTAGTGAGATTTGTATTTTGAAAAAGAATTGATTGGGGATTGAGTTTTGTCAATGCTACCACAAACAGAATAAGATTTTTATGGTATTATATATGTGTATATAATATATATATATATATATATATATATATATATATATATTACTTCAAAATCTATGTGCGTGGGTACAATGACGTCACTGTCGTAACGTCATTGTACCCACGCACCGGATCTAATATCAATGTTACAAGTCCCATATGCACACATTCATAGCCATATATTCAGAAACGTTCAAACAACGAATGCGTCGGAGTTAACACGTTATTACATATTGCTTATTGATACTTTATTACTTAATCGCCAACACTTAATTCTGAATCTTATTGGCTACATTATTGATGGTTTCTCATTGGTTAATTTTATGTAACACTTCTGGAATATATATTTGTAATATTGGAATCCTTATTCATTCCTGATGATGATCTAATAAAAGATCGAAATATTAAATCACAGTCACTAGTCCCTCACTTTGTTTTATACTAAGTTATCATAAAACAACTTACCTATTCCCTGCTTAAACTTATCAGTGGACCTACTGGTTTTTAGATTAACTACGATGCGCAAAAGCATACGGGAAAAAATGGCGGGAAATGAGTTTTCCAGTAGTCCGAGGTGTAATTTAATGACTTTTAACTTCTTCAAAATTCAAGGTTTCCCCCTCTTGAAAAAGGTCATGTAAATTTTCTCATTTATATTACAGCAAATAGGTCTATTAATTGTGTATTAAAAAAAGAGAATAGTTTACATACGTATCATTTTTCCTTGAATTTATAAGCACCAAAAGGTGGATTCTCCCCTGGTAAGAAATCTTTATTCCTGGATGAAGGGAATTAACTTTCCGGACTTCTGAAATGTATTTTAATGACTTAAGTTCTGCAAAATTCAAGATTTTCCTTTTGAAAATGGTCAATAATTCTTCTCATTCTTATTACAGTACATAGGCTTATTATGTGTGTACCGGTGTACGTACAGAAAAACAAAATTGAGTAGTTGCATACGTATTATTTTTTCCATGAATTGATTAACCCAAAAAGAAGTGTGAAGGGTACTGCCCCTGGAAAATTCTGATTTCTAAATGGCAAGAAACGAGCTTTCCCGTATTATAATTTCCCAGTGTAACAACGAGCTTTCCCGTATTATAATTTCCCAGTGTAACAAACAAATTCAAGCTCACGGGCTTATTTTTTTATGATTTTTATTTTGCCAAAATGGGGGGGTCAAGACCCCTGACCCCTCATATGCACCAGTGCCTCCCACTCTATTCATTCTAACTATTATACATCGCCACCTTTTCCTACTCATTCAACATGTTGCTGAGCACGGGTATACGCTAGTAAAATACGGTAATCAAAACTTGAAAATTGTTATTGACATAAATATTATATCCATTCATATGATTTATGTACCTTCGGAAAAGCGATTACAAGAAAAGAAGTAAGTTTGTTGTGAATATAAAGTACTGTATAGTTTTGAATTTTTGAAAGATATTTAAAAAAGAACTGTTTACCAGTACAAACTCAATAGCCAAAGACTTGGAAACAAAGACGACAATTTTCTTAAATTTACGAATGGTTTCGTGTTTTATAAATATTAGGAAAGGAATGCAGACATGGTGCTTATTTTATGACCAGTGGAAGGATATTACATACTTTGGAATCTTTATAAACTATACTTTTTTATCTGTAGTTGTTTAAAGTGCAAAATATGGCTGAAGGTGTCGCACGTCTGCAACTTTGGCATGATGAGGGCCCCAGTTAGCGCCAGATCTCCACAAACTCCGTGACGCCACTGTGATGGGTGTTATTTTGTGTTGAACCTTAAAATAGATATGGTTTCTTGAGTATATCTAATGATCTTAGTAACTTTAAAAAGCGGGCTGAAGTGTACTTGAATCCCAATTGGATTGGAGTATTTTTGTGTCAAAGACAATCAATGACGGTCACTGGCTGGTCAATATAAAACTAAAACGGCCAATAATAATTCTGTCTGTCACAATCGATATTGATATCGATATCGTAAGGGTAATAATGTGGTCAATCTAAGCCACTCTTAACGAATTCACAGTTTAGACAAAATCAGATGGTAATATATCACATTGTTGTATTTCTTAGGAAATATTCACTAGTACTTCAAAACTTGCTCAATTGAGGTACTAGAATTTGTCAGTGATTCCCCAATTAACTTCTCGACTCAAGGTAGTAGTCATCTATGCAATCGTCACCAAATGCTACCTACCTGTAATCAATGCCCAGGTGTTTACATTCGTTGAAGGTCCAGATGGTATTGAATAAATTCCGCTTCTTGACAAAAAGGTGCACGTCCAGATCTATTTCGGTTTTTATTTAGAATTTTCAAATAATGGTCGATATAGTGTTTCAATCAAAGTGAACAACTCAGCCCAAATAACAATGGTTAATGTGGCAAAGGTCACAGAATCATTACCAATTAAACTATACCTGTCTTTATTTATTTATTTATTTTACCGTAGCTCCTTTGTTACAAATTCCTTGAGGTCTCTTTGAAGTGGGTGTAGAAAAGTACAATTCTTAATTGTAATACTAATATGAATTATTTTTTTAATAATATAGTTAAATGATACTGATCAAAGAATGTTTTATCAGTCATTTCCCATATTCTGTGACACTTACGAAAGACCTAATAAAAATATCTTGTAAAATTTCTTCAATGAAGTGTAGAATATCTCCTTCCTAATATTTGGTGGAAAAAAAGAGAATGCTCTTCAGTAAATATGGAGTCATTAGATGTTCAATGCACTAAAATTAATTTAGGACGACGTGCAATATAACATGCAAGTGCTCATTGACAACTGTTATCAAAGTATTCCTAATGCAAAATTGGGATGGTGTAAAAACCGGTGGTAAACTTTATTATTGGAACACTCGTTTTGTCATTATTACAAGACACGGTAATAGCATACTGTTATTAAGATCAAATAAAAATGTATTATTTCTTTGTTAGTTGTACTGCATCGTATTTGACAATTAGAAATACCAAGGCTATAACAAAAAAAATATATAATAAACCCCCTCCAATTTATTTCTACAAGAAACACACACTTCATTAGAAAAAAAAAACAAAAACAAAAAAACACAAAACAAAATAAAGAAAAGACAAAAAAAATAAAAAATATAAGGTGAACGGCTTCAGATTAATAATTTCAAAGTTGCAGCTGATGATTGTTGTTATAGCAACATAAAACAAACATAAGTTAATATTAGCTTTGAGTGCTATATTTCCTTCTATGATAGACCAAATTAGACGATTTTGCAACTAGTACTGTAGTAGAATAATCCATGTTTACACTTGATAAAGGTGACAGATGAGCTTTGCACAGATAGGAAGTTAGTAAATAGTTACGAAATCTAGAATAAACATGCACGATATTTTTGGCAGAAACTACCGGTATCCAAGTATTCTTATTCTAACAGTGGATGGATTAAGGACTGGGTTGATCAACTTCATTGTTGCATGTAGCTCTCGGGTTTTTCATGCTTTATTTAATATAGTGTATGAGAAGCGCAGGCAGGCATTAACGTTACCAAAAAAAAATTATTTTGCATTACATTAGATTGTTGGAGTTAAAAAAGGGTTATGAGGTATCATTAACCTAAAACTAACATTACATTTTCTTTAATCATTTTTGTGTGTGTGTGTGTGTGCTAGTGGTATATCTACTTGCCTCATTGCAGACAGCTACATGTATATTCTATTTATTTTAAATGATTCACCCAAAACCCATAGGCCTACACGATTAGTCATATATTTATAATCTCAGTAGAACCGTTTACATACAGGGTGGATATTATCGTTAGGACTACTTATCAATATCACTCACATACATGCAATATCGTGTTAGTTACAAAGTTCATGTTAAGAATATGTTAATTACAAAGATAAAATATTTGTATATTAATTGTAAAAGATACTTGGCTTTCACTTTCCAAAAGGAGTTGGTACCACAGGGTTGTGTTCCACCATGAAAGGCACGGTATATATTGTGGTTATTTTCTTGTCACTTTTTTGTTTCGGGTTATGTTCCTGGAGTCGTAACCAGATAACTTTGACGAGTGGTAAATACGATAACTTGCTTATTGCTATTAATAAAGACATACCAGAAAACCAGGAGCTTATTGATACCATCAAAGTAAGTGGGATTATCTGATCTAATAAGTATGTGTTCAGTTATTTAGAGTAGGTTAGACTATGTTAAATTAGCATAAGCTACTGATATACTATGTTTAAACTTGTTTAAACTAGATTAAATTGTAAAATAACATAACCGCACAGAAAACGAAAAGAAATTGCATTCGAGCTATTAGCTAATTAAAACGACAACCATCTTTCCCGTTTAGAAGTTTATGCTTCCGAGCTTTAGCTTGGTAAACTTTCAAAAATAATTACTATATCGCCAATTGCCCTTTTCACATAATGTTTTATGGAAACCCCTGGAGAAGAATCTTAGGCCAGGTAATGCTAACCCGACTGCAACCCGACGATGTACTGTGGCTGAGATACGAATGTGATGTGTCTTAGGAATATCTAATAAACATAAAGGCGCATTTTTTACTCCCAAGAAACGTCTATGACTATAATTGCGTGATCATTGTTTATATGCTAGCTGTCTACTCACACATCGGGAAAACAAAATGATATTTACTGATATACAGATATTTTACTAAGGAAATACTTAGATTGGTCTGGCCTACCAGTAGTAAGTGACTATAAATAGTGACTATAAAAGAATGAGAACATTATAATTTTCGCTTCTAATATAGGAAGACAATATTTATTCTAATTATGAACTGAAAGCTGACTAATTTTTCTTCAGATTTATTTTCAAATTAATCGGTATAACAAAAAAAAAGAACTATGCTAGGTCAGTATTTCTACAAACAATTCTTTTCTAAAATTAAAGGCTAGTGAATTACTTTAAAATAGAAACTGTCTTGGTTTTGTATTCTCATCCATGGAATTGCGTCAGTCGAGGACCGCAAACGCACTGATTTTCACATAGAATTCATCTAATTATTTCATTGTGTATTTCGTAATGTACTAAGCCAATTTTGTTTAATCTAATCTTAATCTCAATCTGACAGTAATTCCTAAAATGCGCATGTCCAGCATAGCAGGATAAAATGTGAATTCGATGTATTAAAAAATGTAATGTATATTCTTATTTTAATGGGAAAATGTTTACTTGTTTTATGGTTAATCCACTTAGTGCTTATATCAATAATTGCAATGGTATTATCAATATAAAAATTTAAAAAAACGAATAACTCTGTCTGGCACTTTGAATGTCAATCAATTTTTGTAAGCGATAATGTAGTCAAGTGGTCAATCTATGCAAAGATAAAATAAGAAAGTTCTTTGCTCAATGAATCATAAACCAATACACTGTTGAACCACATTTCATTCGTAGTGACATATTACATTATCGTGTTTGGTATTAGGAATCATTCACTAGTGCTTCGGAGAAATTACTTACCGCAACAAATAATAGAGCATATTGGAGGAGAATTACCATTCTGGTTCCAAAATCATGGGAACGTAAACCGGAATACGAAGCCGTTACTACTGAGAGTTTCGACAGAGCCAATGTTGTCATCGACACCCCAAATCCTAGATGGGGAGACAACCCGTACACAAAACAACTTGGAGGATGTGGAGAACCAGGAGAATATATTCATTTGACACCAAATTACTTAATTGACAAATCGACGAGTGAATATATTTGGGGTCCAATGGGTAAGTCATCTTACAAACTTTTCACATACCAGACGACCGGGTCATTATTCAATCGCATTCATATTGCATTATTTATGACGAGTGTACGGACCGATCTGTTTAATATTCAGGGAATTAAATTCAAAATATTATGATACTAATTACCAATATAATGAATATTACAATGTATTTAGGCCTAATTACTTATACACATCTCAGGATAAAATGTGAATTCGATGTATTAAAAAATGTAATGTATATTCTTATTTTAATGGGAAAATGTTTACTTGTTTTATGGTTAATCCACTTAGTGCTTATATCAATAATTGCAATGGTATTATCAATATAAAAGTGGGGTCATCTCAGATGGGGTCTTTTTGACGAGTATACCACAAACGATCCCGGATCAGCGCCCTTTTATGCTACTTCTGATCATATAGTGGAGGCAACACGATGCTCACTTACTATCAAAGGTCAATACGTTAATATATTCACACTGCGGCAATGTTACCTTGACCCGGATACCGGTATCTACCAACCAGAATGCGTCTTTTATCCAGACGTAAATGGTCAGACGGCTAAGGCATCTATTATGTATGGGCAATTTATAGAATCGGTTGGTAAAATCATTATTATTTTATTTAATTGTAATTCATATATTTTTCATTTCCTTCTAGGCCTAACACTATACATTTATTAATTCAATAAAGTTATTCGTAAGCTTCACACATAGGGTGTGAAGAGGAGTGACAAATAAAATGTTGCCAATTTTTGGCAATGGTTACAATATTCTTCTTGTAGGCAGTGGCTATAACACCAGCCTTAAACGAATGCATAATTCTGATTGGTTGTTAACGTTCTCATTTAATCCATACATTAAGCAGTATTCAATCAGAACCACACTTAGCAGCATTTATGCTGTCTTGAGTTTGAGACAATACAGTTGTAAAGTACATATTTTTTGCATGCATTCTGATTAAATCTGATTTTTTTTTAAATAAAGTATATATTTAATGTCGAGTATATATTTTATTGGGTAAGTGTAGGCCACCGTTTGCGTTTCCATAGTATTTCGAGTTGCACTTGCTTTGTCGTTTTAAGTGCTCAATACTGTAAATTTGATATTTTTTCAGGTTTATACATACTGCCACAGTGATTCTGGTGATCCATCGGGTTATCACAACGTTGAAGCGCCACATAAACACAACATAATGTGTAGTAGTAAAAGTTCATGGGACGTAATGCTAGAATCAGATGATTTTAAAAAGAACAACAATCCACCTATTGAAGGAGAGGTGAATACCGAGCCGATCTTTCGTATTGTTCAAGCCAGAGAAAGGAGAGTTGTTTTGGTTTTAGATACCTCTGGAAGTATGTCGGTATGTTAAACCATAGAGAAAATAGAACAATCTTAATAGGGAAAAATTGTATAATCATACACTTTTTCTTTTTGTCTTTTTCTTCATCGTCTTCTCCGTTTTTATCTTTGTGTTCGTTGTCTTCGGATTTTTCTTTCTTCATATTTATTTTAATCTTCCTCTTGTTTTTCACCCGTCTTATGAAAGTCGAATGAACACTCTACACCTGTACAGTTTCAACTGCCCTTAAAGTACTTTAAAGTAGACATTTTCAATACATTAAAATACGAAAGAGTTACGTTAAAATTTACTGAATAATTCTTCTACTTTTTCTTCTTCCACTACAAGTCCTAGTAACATTTATTCAATAATGGCATACCGTATGACACATGATATCAACAATACAAACCATCATTGGGATCATGACTAGAAAAAAACTTTTGAGATGACATCATGAAAAAAAATTCACAGGGGAAAAAGGTCATTGTAAAACGGGGTGCTTCTTTTTGTTATTAGTTTATTATTATTATTATTATTATTATTATTATTATTATTATTATTATTAGTGAACACAAACGAGAGATTTATGTATTTTATAACTTAATTTATATTTTTTCTTATTTTAATAATTTTAATACAGGGTGTACCACTAGAGAAGCTTCTTCAATCAGCTACACATTACCTACGTTATACCATTGACGAGGGTAGCTATGTCGGCATTGTTGAATTCGACACAGTTTCCAACGTATTGTCCGAATTGGTCTACATTTCTAATAACGATACATCTCGGGAGACGTTGGTGGGGGTGTTGCCAAAAGTAGCTAATGGTGGAACAAGTATCGGATCAGGAGTATTGGAAGGAATTGCAGTAAGCATAAGTGTTGTTGTGTGATATGATTTCTGAATACTAATACTTGTTTTTGAGTTTTGTACTTTCATGTTCTTCTTTACTATTCAAAGGACAAGCTATCAACAACGCTGTTCTTTTATTTCAACAGTTCATATATATTGTATTTACACTATAAATAGGAAAATTATATTATTTCTGTTGGAGTTTTGATGTCAAAATTGTATAAATATAACACTAAAATGTATATTTTTTATGGATACAGCTTAAATATTGAATGATTATTTCCTAGGTAACACGTTTACAAATATCCCCGGCAACTTCTTTCTATATTCTACTTTACCATTCTCGATATTATTTTCAGGATGTTACTTGCAAGATGTAATATAAATTAGTTTTAATAAAAAGAATTAATTGATAAAAGTAAATGCATTCCAACCCTTTTCATCCGAGACAATTATTAAATTATTGGTACTGTTGTACAAAATAAGTTTAATTTCATAGACAGTGTATGCATACATGTCATCAGAAATTGAAATAGAAAATCAGTCTACTTAAGTTACTTTTTACGTAGACAATTTTAATACGATATTGGTGTTACGTCACCTTGACAGGTTCTCTCGCGAAACGACGAAAACCCAGCTGGAGGATATCTTCTGGTCATCAGTGATGGACAAAATACTAACTCTCCTGGAATTAATGACGTCATAGATGATATAATTGATGCCGGAGTCATAGTAGACACTATTGCTTTCACTGACGCAGCTGACAATGAATTAAGCACCTTAAGCGAAGTTTCGGGTGGAATCGCTTTCTTTTTCGCTGGCGATTCAGATATTTCTGTTCTTAATAATGCATTTACCGCTACCGTAACCACACGGCCAGATCTTAGTACACAATCACTTCCAATAACGGTAAGTAATTCTACAATACTCAACATTTTCACTTTTTGCAGTTAGAGCGTATCATGAACGAGGACGGAGTTACGTACTAGGCTAAGTTTACAGCAAGCCTTTAGGAAAATCAATGTGCTAAAAATGGGCAATTCATCAATTCGGTGTGAGAGATGTCACGCTACTGTAGACGAACTGAAGCCTAATCTGATCACTTTTTGGTACCCGTATTGTAAAATTAGTATTTAATTAGGATTATTGGGCTACTTACGTTGTGTGTAGATTAAGTGTGCATTGTGTTCTCATACAACCTGAAAATGGCTGAAAATTGTAGAACACTGTATAAACAACTGACAACAGAATACTAACTATTAACTGATAAACTACACGATAAAATAAATGAGGAAAATGATGTTAATGCTGATGATGATGATGATTATGGCGATGCTGATGATGATGATAATGATGTCGGTCGTAGTAGTGGTGGTGAGAGAGGAGAGTGACGATGATGATGAGGATGATGATGATAATGATGATAATAATAATAATAATGAGAAAATGATGATAATAATGAGGAAAATGATGATGAGGAAAATGATGAACCAGGCATTTATTGTTACAATCATGGCTATAACTAGACTACGACCATTACTATTACTACACTAGACCACATTAATGGTTGTAACAAGGCTAGGATGACTGCGACTAATGTTACTGAAATGCGTTACTAAATCCTCTCAGTAACTGTGGATTGTGACATATGACATGGGTAATGACTACAACTAAGACTACTACTATAGCTAGGACTAAGTCTTAAACTGTGCATTGAGACCTGCGACCTGACACTATGACAGGAATGTAGGTAAGAATGGCCGAGGAAAAAATAGCCGAGGAAAAAATGGCCCCGGTAAAAATGGCCCCAGTAAAAATGGCCTCAAATGACAAGTAGGTAAAAATGGCCCCAATGAAAAAATTCAGTAATAGAAATTTTTTTTTAAATCTTCAAATATTTAAATACTGTAATAAGCAAGAATTGAATCAATAACAAGTACAGTTACACAACAGATGCAAATAATGTACTGAGAGATTATCATATAATAAGTTACGGCCATTGAACATTTTTTGATAGTTGAAATAAGTTTTAAAAACGTTATTCCACTAACAAAGTAGAGGAATGACATACATACAGTACTTCAACTACAAAAATATGCAACTCATAGATAACCACAAAATTCACTTTTGTTAAGTATCAAATGAAATAACTTCACATGTTATAAACAGTGCAAATAAACAGTTAAAGCATGTGGATCAATTGTGTGTTTGAATGACAAGTTTATCTATGGGAAAAGAAGGGCTTACTTTACTTCAAAAATGTTCTGCTTAGTAGAGTTACTTCAAAGAAGTATTTGTTAATCAAATATTGTTTTTAAAGTAAACTGAATAATTATAAGGAATACATTTATTTAAGCAACTTATTTAATTGCATACTTGGTTTCTACTCCCCTACCAAGTACATTTAAGTGCCTAAAACTATACTAAATAATGTAAACTGAGATATTATTATACACATAGTTATGTAAATATGGCAATTATACTAAGAATTAAAAGGGCGTGTAATTGTGAGGGTAAAGTAATTATGGTAGGATCAAATGGTATTGCTAAATCCCAAAAACCTCCTAAAAAACACTGTAGAAAACCAAACAATTCAATTGTGATTGACTCACTTGGTATATCAATAAGAAAGTTAAATATTTATAAGAACCTATTTTTTGGTTAAAATGTTGATTTTTTTTTTTGTGAAAAAATACTTGCAAATACACCACGATCCTCCAAACACACTGCGAACCCCATCGAAGCCCTTTAATTACGATTGTAGAACTCTCTTTTTCTAAAAAAAAATAATAATAATTTGATGCTCATGTAAACTCATTGTCTGTGGGGTTTACCAATACCCGGATTGAATTTCTGCAAAATTGTGATTCCGCTTCCTTAAATTGGCCAGAAATAAATTATTTTAGTATTAATAAATGCATTATTTATGTTGATTTATTTATTATGTTGCTATTTTTTAACATTTAAATGGAAAAAAAATTAAAAGTATCATTCATTGATTTTTTTATCTGAATATTTTATCATTGAATATGTAATTTCTGCAAAAAGTAATATGTAAATGGCAATTTATTTAATGTTAGATTCTTTTAAAAAACTAAATTATTTCAGTTAAAAAAATGCATATAATGATTTATTTTAAATCAGTTTTAATACAGAATTTTATTACTGGGGCCATTTTTACCTACCTGTCATTTGGGGCCATTTTTACTGGGGCCATTTTTACCGGGGCAATTTATTCCGGGCCATTTTTCCTGGGCCATTTTTCCGGGGCCATTTATTCCGGGGCCATTTTTCCTGGGCCATTTTTTCCGGAACCATTCTTACTGTACACCCACGGCGGAGCCAGTGGGGGGTAGGGAAATTCTCCTCCCCCAGCCTGCCCCGTCGGACTGCCTTGATATCCTAACCCTCTCGTCGTCCGGACTAAAAATATTTTGCCTATCCAAATAACGTTATTTTGATTACGGTACTGTGAACAAACAAGAAGAATTTCAAACCATGTTCTCACTGTGTTTGACAATAAAAGTTGAATTGAATTGTATCAATCCTTAATAGTGTGGCCTAAAAGCACATTTTCGACCATACTAAGCCATAAAAACTCTCCCCGTGAACCCTACAAATAACTTGATTATTAAGTATTATTCCGGGCCGTCGATCAAGTGTTCAACCGTCTTAGTTCGGACCCTTTCGTCGGCACGTTAGACCCCTTCTAAACAAATTTTCGCCGCAACCACTGGACTATGATAATAGAAATAACAAATAAAATTGTTTTTTAAACGTGTTTTATTCTATATTTTTAGCTATACAGTGATTCTCTAACAGCACCGCGTGGTGATGCAAACGTCAGCGATTCTGTTTTCATCGATTCCACCGTAGGTATTGAAACAGTGTTCACGTTTTCCTGGATCGGGGATTTAATCCAGGTGTGGCTAGAATCACCGGATGGAAACTTTGTTGATCAAAGTCAATACATTATCGATACGGACACGAATATTATCACAATCAAGATAAATGACACGGCGATGGTAGGTAGTAGGCATTATTATGCGTTTGTCGCGTGGGCGTGTTTGTAGGGTTTGGAATGGGTTGGGTGTGTGTCTTTCTCTGATATATTTATCAAGATAACGTATCTTACCACAAATATTGTTTATAGAGTATCTGCGTCGAAATGTAATATTAACTAAATATACTGTATGACTAGCACGTATTTCATTGTTTGTTTTTTGTTTTTGTTTTTGTTTTTGTTTGTTTGTTTTTTGTTTTTTTTTTGTTTTTTTTTGTTTTTTTTGCATTGTTTTCTTATTTTTTTTCTTTTTTTAATGTAGTCCGGTGACTGGGTATTTACAATTGGAAATGTCAACAGGATATCAGCATCGCAAGTGGTCACCATCACCGTAACTTCAAAACAATCTTCCGATGAGGATCCCATTGAGGTACAAGCTTTAGTCAGTAATCCTACAATCGACTTCTCGACAGAACCTGTGATAATCATCTATGCAATCGTCACAAAAGGTTACCTACCTGTAATCAATGCCCAGGTGTATGCTAGCGTTGAAGGTCCTGATGGTATTACAGAAATTCAGCTTCTTGACAACGGAGCACAACCAGATATAACGAAGGATGAGGGGGTCTATTCCGGTTATTATTTAGAATTTTCAGGTAAAGGTCGTTATAGTGTCGACATAAAAGTGAACAACTCAGCCAAGACGGCAATGGTTAACATGGCAAAGGCTACCGGATCATTACCGATTAAACCAGGTTTGTTTTTTCTCTTTACCATAACTTGTTTGTTAAACTTTCGTCGTCCAAAATAGTACTTTCTAGAAAGTAATTATGGAATATCTAAAAGGTGGATTTAAAAAATTACTAAAAGTCAGGATCACTAACATTTACCTTTATACAAAAAGTAAACCTTACAAATGGAATCGTAGAGCTTCAACTTATCTGATCCTTTAGTCGTCGTGAAATAATATCTTAACTGTTTATTTGAATCATTGGCAAATTTGAGCTTCACTACACCATGGGAGTATGACATTACTTGAAATATTCCCACCTCAGGAAGGAAGATCACACAGTCATATTGAACATATATGTCCTAATGGCAAAAAGAAGCAATTTAAATAAAGTAAGGCATGGTTACAGATGCTGTGTCTTCAAATGTACCTATGTTTTATTGCAGAATCAATTAATGAGGATTTACCTGTATTTGAGCCGACGGGAATGTTTGTTCGTACGACTTCTGGTGGGGCATTCCAGGTCGAAAACTATGTCAACGATCCTACAGATAATTTAGCACCTTCTCGAATTCTGGATCTCAGTGTATTAAAGACTTCATACAGTGAGCAAAGCGTAGCTCTTCAGTGGACAGCTGTCGGTGATGACTTTAACAAAGGAACTGGTATGAGTATGATTAATTATGATAAATTGTTTTTTTTTTTTTTTTTTTTTTTTTTTTTTTTTTCTTACTTAAAAAACTATTAAATCCATTAAAATTTTATTTATATTATAGTACGTCTATTTCTTACACTCTTTATTTATTGTGGATTATTCTGGTGTACTGCTCAGGAAGATCAAGCATTAAAAAAAACTAAAACGTGACAAATTTATACAATCACAAAACCATAATAGTCACTGGCTGGACAGAACTTCTACTGTTCAGACATGATTGAAAAAAGTAACTCAATCACTTATCAAAAGGTTTTTTCGTACTGGTCATTATCATTGTTTTTCAGTGGTACAGCTAAATTGGTCTATTTTATTTAATTATTTATTTATTATTTTATTTAATTTTTATTCATTTCATCAATTATATATTTCTCAGCAACAAAATATGAATTGATGGCTGCAAGTCAGTACTCACAACTTCTCTACGATTTCGCTAATTCAAGATTGGTAACGAATGATGACCTAATCAGGGGAAATATGTCTATTATTAGCCCAGCCGGCACTAGGGAAACGGTCACCATAAGAGTTCCAACACGTGGTGAGAATGCAACATACTTCTTTGCTATTCGTGCTTACGACGAGGCAGATAATTACGGAGAGGTTTCTAATATTGTGTCTGCGAACATGGAATACATCCCACCAATTCCCGAAGATCCCGGCACGCGTACTGCACTCTGGGCCACCCTAGGTACATTAATAGGAATTGCTCTAATCGCTGGAGTAATTTTCGCATTTACTCGACACAGTAAAAAACAGAAAGAAAAACAAAGTAAAGTAGAAAGTTCTGGAAACGTGAACAGTGGAATGGACAATGCTACACCTGAACCTTAGGATAAATGTCTTTTTTTTTGTTTGTTTGTTTTTTGTTTTTTTTTTGACGAAATTTAAACCTTGAATAGATAATATTGTAAATATTAATACATAGTAGTAGTGATATAAAAAATCACAGGTCCTTCTGTTGGTTTTTTTTCTGACGAAATTTAAACCTTAAATAGATATTTTTGTAAATATTAATAAATATAAAAAATCGCAGGTCCTCCATTGAAAGATACAGGCCTATTATCATATTATAAGTAACGAAACAGCTTACATAAAGGCATCTAAAGTTGTAATGATATAACTATTAGATTGAATAAGATTGGTCTATCTAGGGTTTTAGATTTATTGAAATAATACAACTATTGTTATTAAACCGTAACTATTGTTATTAAACCGTAAAAGTGTATATGGTGGCCTATAAAACACAATACAAAAGAAGTTGGATACCATACTTCAATAGATGATTGGCATTGTAAGTGTCGATTTGTATTTTTTCTGCATAAAAGAATTAAAGAGAGAGGTAACATGTTAGTAAGCACAACATTACAGTTTTCAAAAGTTTCCAATTTAATCCCTTTTACCTTTACAGCCATTAGAAAACAAGTTCTCGTACTCGAAAGCTCTGATGAGGGCAGTATAATAAGGTAGTATTTTTAGAGAGTATTTTTGCCCTAACAGACGCCTGTACAAAGAAAGATCTAATAATCAGTATTGACCCCAACGGCCGCTAATACAAATTATATCCTCTAAAAGAGCTAAAACAGATATAATAATCAATTAGCCAAGTGTTTTTAGAGCTCCTCATCGGAGCTGAAGGTCAAAAAAAGATCTATTAATCTGTAATTATTTCGAAATTGCTTTTTTTTTATGTTTTGTGTCCCCTCTGCTAGCTATGGATTGTTATTTTTATATTTAATATATGAATATATATATATATATATATATATATATATATACAAACATATATACAAACATATATATTATATATATATATATATATATATATAAATCAGCACTCAGTCCACCCACATCGGAGCTCTAAATACATATATTAATCAATCAACTGCGTGCTTCTAGAGGCCCTCACGGAGCTAAAGACTGTCTTACTCTTTATTATTATTACCTTTATTATAATTCCGGCTGTCTAATCCTTTTTTGGAAGCAATATCTGATGTTGAGTTTACTGACAAAATAGTTAAATAATTCTAATAATTGTTTCTTATTCACAGAATCTTATAAGGTGTACTATACTTAAATTTAGGGTTTACATTTTTAAAGCTCATGATTTTGCTGTTTGTATTTTTTTTTATTTATCCGTATGCTATTTGTTTCATTGACAGTATTTAAATTTTCGATTTCTAATGAATAAAGTGTTACGTTAAAAAGGGCTAAATTCTTCTGTGCAATCCTAATAACCATTCAAGCAGCGTCTGCAAAATATTGGCGGTGACACTGATTGTTTGTATTTAAACAAAAAAAAAATGTTTCTTCTAGCGGTAAGGTAGAAGACCGCTATAACTGCGACAGCCTAAGCATTGGTGGTGGTTTGAGCTGCTCCTCACCAAGAGTTCGGTTGGTAGAAGCAAGTCTTTTCGAATAAGAACTTGAAATGAAAGTGTACAAATAATAATAATAATAATAATAATAATAATAATAATAATAATAATAATAATAATAATAATAATAATAATAATAATAATAATAATAATAATTAGAATAATAATAACGATTGTACGATTGTTACAGGGAAAGAAAGAACGAACGATAGTATATCCAGGCCTTTAACTAAAATAATATTGACCTGATTTACTTCAAAGGAGAAATAAGTGGCTCGACTAGTGCTAAAGTTTGGTACTGATCCTAATCATCCGGATTCTAGTGCAAGATTAAAATTTACCCTGTTAATATCATAGAAGCTGAGAATCCTACTTCCTATCAGAGGCTACAACAAGCCATACTCTTATATTTCACATTACACAAGCGATCAGGTGGCATCCCTATGCAGTGGAGGCTTTAGGATATTTTTTCTGGGGGAGGGGGGCTAAGTTGCCCGACAGGGAGACTTGGGCAGGTAGGCTCGAGCTGGGGGAAGGGGCTGAGAGCGGTTTCCCCTCCCAAATGAATTTTTTTTAAGAATAGCAACCTTGCTGGATGGCCGGAAATGGCACTCTCAGACTTGTGACAGACATGTCTTGGCTTGGTGTGGGCTATTTTTATATGTTTTATGGTCTAACTACCCGACGAGCTTCTGT